GGGGGGGGGGGGGGAGGTAAAAGCTAGAGAAATGCTGATAATGAAGGACCAGGAAAGCCTCACGGCCAGGGTTCTCCAAGAATGCATAGAAGAGAAACCGGTAGGTCTTTTTATGATTTTTTGTGTGCACAACGACGTAATCTTTTAGAGACATATTCAATGGGCTGAAGGAACAATTCAAGGGTATACGTTCACAAAGGATGAGGTGTGTGCGTGTGTGTTGTATTAAGAAAATAAGAATTAATTTGAAGTGGATTGTAAGATGAAAGGGGCAAGGTTAATATGTTATTTTTTTCCTCAAAAAGATCAAGGGTCAATTGCTTGAATCCTCATTCAATGGTTCAATCTCAAAAATGGAAAGCAATCTGAGCCATGCCCCAGTTGATTGTTTAGTACCCTACTTACTTTCACTCCTAATATAGTGTTTTCATTAGATTTGAAATGACATGATTTGGTTTGCTTGCAAATGAATGTACTTCTTTCATCCCGCAATTCACGAGACACTTTATTTCAGCGTTGTCTCAGAACATTGACAAATTTACTAGTAATACTGATTTGCATATTATACACATTTTTTTAAGAATTCAAATTGGCTTGAGATTTCAGTTTGAAAGATGAAACTTTGATGATGTTCTTCTTTGCAAATTAAATCTTCATAGAAAACCTAAGTCATTATTTGGTATACTTTTTCTTCTTTTTTAATCAGTCTAATATAAAAAAAATGGGCAGCCCGGTGCACAAAGCATCCCTGATCACGTAGGGTCCAGGGAAGGACTGCACTCCAAGGGGGTGTGATGCAGTGTTATCAAAGGCGAAAAGCGCAAAAAAATTCTATGGTCTGTTGGGGCTTTAAGCGCAAAGCGCAAATAAAGAGTGGACTTTAACGAAGAAAGGCGCAAATGGAGAAAAACTAAAAATATGTATGTGTAGTCTAACACTAATATCTATAAGCATGAATACCAAATATAAGGATAAAGAAATTGAATAAAATTTACGATATAGTGAAATAACAATTGTTTAGTGTCGCCTCTTCAGGATTACGCTTATCGGCAAGGGAAAATATGCCTTAGAGCATTGGTGACTACACTGAAGGCTCGCTAAGGGAGGTGAAGCGCTCAACATGTTTTGAGCCTCGCTTCAGTGCTTAAGCGCGCCTTTGATAACACTGGTGTGGTTTAGGCAGCCTTGATGCAAGCATCAGTGGTTAATTCCACGGCTTAATCAGTCTAATATACTTCTATTAATGGTGTTGAATATGCCAGTGAAACTCTTTTCCACGCTTAGCCAATATTTTTCTCCTATTTGACAGAGGATGTGCTAGTTACTGCCAGAGATTCATGCATTTCCTTGTTCTTATATAAGTATAATTTCTTCCCCAAAAGCCATCTCAAACGAATAATTTCTTCCAGAAATCACATATGCAGTTCCTGCCTGTTTCTTTGCAGTTTCTGATGATGTGCGAGTTACTAAATATACACAACTTTTTGTAATGGAAGTGTCTTACTTCCTCGGTTGAATTTGTCTTAGGAATTCTGGGACTGGAGCTGGGAAGAGTTGGCTCTTTATGATCTTGCCGAAATGATTCGATATGCAAATTCAATCACAAAAGCAAAAATTTTGGTTGTTGGACATTCACAGGTTTTATTCTTTCGTAGCATCCATGTTCTTATGTAATTATAAGGGTTCTCTCCTTGTCATAGCATCTTATGTTTTTTTTTCAGGGAACAATCATGTCTCTTGCTGCTTTTACTAAGCCAGATATCGTGGAGATGGTCAAAGCTGCAGCACTCATTTGTCCTATATCATATTTAGATCATATCACCACAAATTTTGTCCTTAGATTGGTCAAAATGCGTCTTGATGAGGTGCTGAAATAGTGTGTCGCCATGTTAGTTTCACTACATATATGACTTCAACAATACTCTGACAAATTTTATGCTATGGATTAGATAATTCTTGGATTGGGCATCCATCAGCTTAATTTCAAAAGGTTCCACTAAATCTTTCACTTCTTTGTCCAGTATTCTCATGATCTTCTATTGCCTTTATTTAAAGATATGACACATTTTACTATAATGTTTGCAGTTATATGGGGACTCAAATCATGGATATGATGTGTGAAGGGCATATTCACTGTGACATCTGGCTCAGTGCTATTACAGGTTCTTCTTCATTGTCCATCCTCACTTTCTATGCATTTCCTTCTTGCTTATTACAAGTTCTTATTATACTTCTTAAGCTGGAATGTGAAGGATTGGCTGTAGCTTAGTGATGTGAAAAAGAATTTGATCGGTTCTAGCTTCTTTTGTGATGCAAGATCAAGAAGGCCAAGAATCCAAGAAATTCAAGAAGTTCAAGAAAAAGCAATTCTTTTGTGATGCAAATTCAAGAAGGCCAAGAATCTATTTTCACTTTCTATGCACTTCCTTCTTGCTTATATAATTATTATACTTCTTAAGCTGGAATGTGAAGGATTGGCTGTAGCTTAGTGATGTGAAAAAGAATTTGGTTGGTTCTAGCTTCTTTTGTGATGCAAGATCGAGAAGGCCAAGAATCCATTCAAGATTAGGATTTCTTATTTCTTATTTCCTAGTTATATGGTTCTTGTTTTAGTAGGATTATCCTATGCTAATTAAAAGTGGTTACTATCCTATGCGAATTAAGTTTGGTAAAATAGCAAAGTGAATGGTGGCATACTAATTGTTGAACGACTTCTGATAAAAAGAATTGCTTTTCCTGAGTTGAGGGCAGTGTTGTGAGGAGCGTGACGTGAGGAAAAGCGACAAGCCTCTTTTCGCTTAAAGCGCGTAGCGAGAAGCGAATCGCTTGCCTTTTTGAAGTAAAGTGGAATTAAGAAAAACCAAAATAAATAAATACTAACAACAACAACAATAACATACCAGTGTTATCCCACAAGTGGGGTCTGGGGAGGGCAGCGTGTACCCAGTCCTTACCCCTTCCTTTAAAGGTTGTTTCCAGTAGAACCTCATCTCAGGAAAGATAAATGGAAGAGGCAATAACAAGCAAACCAAATCTGACAACCGAAGCGAAAATACAAAACTAACACTAAGGAATGCAAACAGAAAATCGAAACAAAGCCAGTAGCAAGTAATAATAGAAGTCTAGGGATACAAAAATACACAAAGGACACTAAGTGGGCGTTTGGACATAAAAATTGTAAAATTCAAAAAGTGAAATTTCTTTAAGTGAAAATGATATTTGAAAATTAGAGTTGTGTTTGGACATGAATATAATTTTGGATTGTTTTTGAATTTTTGTGAGTGATCTGAGTGAATTTTGAAAAACAGTTTTTTGGAATTTTTCAAATTTTCGAAAAATTCCAAAATTCATCTTCAAGTGAAAATTGAAATTTTTATGGCCGAACACTGATTTCGAAAAAAATGAAAATCTTTCGGAAAAAATAGTGAAAAAATTCTTATGTCCAAACGGGCTCTAATTGATGTATCAAAGCTACTGCTATAAATACGGACAAAGCTCGACTACCTAACTCTTTACCGTTATTCTCAACCTCCACACCTTCCTATCCATGGTCATGTCCTCAGTAAGCTGGAGCAACGCCATGTCTCGCCTAATCACCTCTCCCCAATACTTCTTCGGCCTAGTGAGCCACTCTAAGCCCGCCCTACCCATGCACTTCCAAAACTCAACCGGTATTTCGTCTTGCCCGGAGCCCGGTCTCTCTTCCCCTGCTCATCTTACGCATAGCCCTATCTACCTCCTCAGCTCTTATACGTCTGCAATACCCAAAGTCCCGATGACTCTCGGAGTGTTCTAAGTCACCCAGTCACCCAGCACAATGTTCCTATCCCCCTCTTCGTTCAAGAGTTTATGGAAGTTTGTCTGTCATCTCCGTCGAATAAGTGCCTCATTCAACAATTCTCTACCATCCTCGTCCTTGACGCACTTCACTTGGTCCAGGTCACGAGCCTTCCTTTCTCGCACCTTGGTTAGCCTGTACAATTTCTTATCTCCTCCTTTGCCTCCAAGTTTTTCATATAAGCGTTCAAACGCGACAGTCTTAGTCGTGGTAACTGCCAACTTCGCTTCCTTCTTAGCCACCTTATACCGCTCCCTGTTCTTCCTCTTCTCCTTCTCGTCTACGCTCTCCAAAAGCTTCAACTGCTGAAAATTTTAATTAAAAATTTGGCAGTAACAACATAGAAACTACCAAAGCAATCACAACACAAACGCAAAAGAAGAAGAAGGGAAGGAGAAAAGAAGAACTGAAGAACATTAAGAAAAATTGGCAGCAACTCGTTTCAATTTCTAGCCCAGAAGCGAAAAGAAAAAGAAGAAGAGAATGAGAAAAAGAACCAAAGAAGAAAAAAAAAATTGGCAGCATTTCGCTGCAATTTTAAGCAAGGAAAAGGAAAAGAAAAAAACGAAGAAGAAGAACAAGGAGGGGGAGGAGGAGGAGAAGAAGGAGAAGGAGAAAGAGGAAGAAAAGAAATCATACCTGAGCCTTGAAGAACCTTGAAGACTTAAGAGTGCCGGAAACCCTAGATTTTTTAGTCGCTCTGTCGCTGTACTGCTGATTTTGTGATAAATGAACTGGTTTTTATTTTTTATTTTTTCCCTTAAGAAGACCGTTGGCAGTATTTCAAACACAAAAGCGATCGCTTCTATTGCTTCACGCTTCTCATCCGCTTCTCGCTACTATGGCAGAAGCGCTCGCATCCAACTACCTAATGCGCTTCACCTATGCTTCTCGCCACTATGGCAGAAGCGCTCGTATCCAACTACCTAATACACTTCAAATAGGTGAAGCGCTTCACTTGTCGCCTCGCTTCGCTTTGCGTTTTAAGCGCTGAAGCGAGCGCTTTACACAACACTGACTTGAGGGTGTATCGGAAACAAGCTCTCTACCTTCACAAGGTAGGGGTAAGGTCTGCCTACACACTACCCTCTTTAGACCCACTTGAAGGATTACATCGGGGTTTTTTTTGTTGTTGTTTTAGTAGGATTATATTTGTAGTTCTAGTCAAACTAGGATTGTTAGTTGGTATTCCATTCTTACTAGATTTCTTTTTCCTATTTTAGTTAGGATAGGTTTTTCTTAACAATCTCATCTATCTTACTCGTTGAAAGACCTATTTAAAGGGCTCAATATGCTGAAAATAAAGGGCGGTGATTAGTTTTTCTAATCTCTTGCTTAAAAAACGTGATTTGTCTTTTATTTCGTTCTCCCATTATTCAACACTTAGTGCAATCTTGCGTGATTGAGGAACGAGTGGGTAAGGTTCTTTCCATTTTACATTCTTCTCACGTGAGTTTGAAGAACGCTTTCACTAGTATTGTGGAAAACTTTAGCGGGATACTTTTGTTTTTCTCTCTTCTTTGTGCTTGAGCGGTGCAAAACCTTGAAAGTACATTATTTTGGCACTAGCATATGAAAGAGATATTTTTTTCGCTCTTTTGTCTCTGCAGCTTGGCAAAATGAGTATTTTCTGATACTAGCTGTCCATTATAAGCATATAACCTAGGTTAATTGCTGGTGAATGGTTCAACTATCTTATGCAAGAATTGGCCCTAACAATATGTAAATGGTTGTGCTGTTTGCAAAGAACAAAAAAAAGCTGATTGGCATAAGCAGCTTTTCAGTTAAATAGAAGGTAGATCCTAGAAACATCTTAAAAGTCAGCCTCCAAGTCATTTGAATATATCCTCTATTTGAACTTAGTTTGCTGCTTAAGGTTTTTATTGCTCTACCCACTAGAAACTTCTATTTTGTCAGTTATATATGACTAGCCTTGGAAGCAATACCTTTAGATTTCATTGAGCACGTTGGATATCCCTACTTCTCTTTAGCAACTATTAATAAGCTTAAAGGAAGAATGGAGAATTTATATCGCTGATTCCAACTTGTTTGCGACTGAGGCGTTATTGTTGTTTTAACATAACTAGGCAACTTTCTTCCGAATGGTATCAGACAATCAATGGCATTAGGAATTGTTAAGAATGTTGTAATAATATTGTAAATGATAGTGTATCGATTATGATTAGTCGAATTTAATTAGATTGATTTCGTAATTAGGTAGAATATTTTCCTTTCTATCTTAGCACTTGTATGTTAACTATTTAAGACCCAGTAGCTTGAGGGAATAATCAAGTTGCATTTTCACTCAATTCTTTCTTTCTTAACTTGTTTTCCTCTCGCATAATGTAGCATTGTGTCTATAAATACATAAGGAATAAGAGACATTGTTCTCAAGCTTTTTCACGCTTTCTGCGTAGCTTATATACTGTGGTTGAAAAACAACTCCTCGTTCCTTTTCAATTTATGTGACACACTTTCCTTATTAGTCTATTCTAAAAAGAACGACATATTTCTATATTGGGAAACAAAACTTTTCATTTTACCCATTTTACCTTTAATGAGAAGCTTTTATAGCCACACAAATTGAAGGCCCACAAAAGTTTTTACCCTTTAAGCTTTTAAAACCACAAGTTTCAAAAGTCTTCCTTTTTTTCTTAAACCCCGTACCAAGTCAAACTACGTTGCATAAATAGAAACGCATGGAGTGAATCTGAGCAAGTTTGCTTTAAATACTTTCACTGTGATCTCTCTTTTGCTGTTTGCAGTACCTTCTTGGTACTTTATTAATGAAATTTATCTTACCTTATCAAAAAAATACTTGATAGTTATGTTCAACTTCATGAATAGCATGTTTGCTTATCCTTAGATAGCAGGTTGGTTGGTTTTATGGCGTAGTGGCATTTGGTCATGGCATTCAGTATCAAAATATGTGATTCCAAGGTGTAAAAATATTTCCTTGCTTTGGTCATGTTAATTCAGTTATATTCTTTTGTTCATCCTTGATATCCTTCATCACTATTGATGGCATTATGGGCCCTTTTTCTTCTTCCCTCACAAACCAAGCTTTATGTGATATGGCACCTAAGATATTCTTGCAGGAAAGAATTGTTGCTCAATGATTTTTGCAGTCTTCTAATTGAGGCATGAAACTATCTCAAAATGTATGAACTTTACTACGTTCCCCATGTTTTCTCATTGATCAATATTCGTGCAGGGAAGAATTGTTGCTTCAATGATTCACGGATTGATTTCTATCTTGAATATGAACCTCACCCATCATCCTCAAAAAACTTGCATCACCTCTTCCAGAGTATGTATATATGTTCAGATTATTATACATATCATTATATGTTATTCTTATTTTCTTTTTCCAAGTGGGATTGGGAATAGCAAGCTTGGCCCATAGGGTTGGGGTTACTGGATGTCAGATCTGGGTTTAAAGCCAGAATCTCGACCACTGAACCAATACCATGGGGTTTGTCTCCTATTCCCTGTTCATCTCAATTTCTTGAATCAGCTATCTTCAGTTTTTTTGTCAATGTCTCCTGGTCGAAGTATAAATGAGGACTTTCATCCTCTTGGGCACTGTTTTACCTCCTTTGTTCCGCCAAATATGTTGATGTTGTCATGATTATTGCTACTTGGAGTGCGTGCACATGTTGTCTAACTGCTCATATTGTCATTATGGTCCTTATATTCCTGATCAAAATTTTGCAGTGATTCGTAAAGGGAATTTTGCTATGTATGATTATGGAATGTGGAGAAACCTCATGCACTATAAGCAACCTGAGCCCCCAGAATTTGATATCAGCCAGATTCCCACTTCATTGCCATTGTGGATGGGTTATGGGGGCAATGACGCATTAGCAGATGTCATAGACGTCCAACATACCCTAAAAAAGTTGAAGCGCAAGACAGATCTGCTTTATATTGAGGAATATGGTCATATTGACTTCCTCCTAAGTATAAGGGCAAAAGAAGATGTTTATGACGACATGATTATGTTTTTCAATTCTGTACAAAAGATAAGCAGTTTTAAGTAGTGGCTGATTAGTATACGTGTGGTGGTGCTGGCCTATTCCATGTTCAAAGTCTTGTATATAGCATGATGATGTTGCTGGTGCTACCTACCTCTTCAGACTGTAATAGCTTCTGGCAAATATGGTGTGTATATAAATCCATTGCCAATCCTTAAACTAGTGGTATACGAGTGTACAAGTCTGTCAGCCCCTCCAATTTCTAGGTAAAAGCTACTCCTAAAATACATTATGTTTCCATGAAAAGTATTGCATTCCTACTCATTGCAGCAAGGGACTCGAAAATTTTTGTTTACATGCTCCTACCTCCATCTTGAATCATATGCAACATTCAAGAGCTAATCAGGAATCAAGCAACCAATCAATATTCAGTATATATTCGTGTAGGGTATGTAGCATTTGCTATTTGCCAAACACTCGATTATTATGGGCTGTAGTACTCCTATCATTCAAATTGGATCTGTGATGGTTACCGAATCCTGATTCGTTCGTCAAATTGTTGTGCAAATAGATTTGCATGATCAGAGGATACATAGTAACACTATACCCACTATTGTATGGCTCTGAGTTAGTACTATGTAAAGTTCAAAACATTGCACTTGCTGAACAAGCCGGCAACATAACATGGGATTTTCTTTGAGGGGATTCTACTTTTCGTAATTCATAAGTTTTAACTAGATTCTATAATTCAGAACCCAATCACTCTACCCTGACATGGAAAACCTAATCTGGAACCAACAAGCTGGAAAACACTGGATTGAATAGACAAATGTTGAAAATGCTACTTTCAGGCCTGAAACAAAATATAAATATAATGTTGTCAATCTACGTTTATAAGAATGGACAATTCTTTCGTAGGTTTGTAAGAATTCCAAACTTTCGAATTAGACAAACGAGAAGGAGAAATTCTGGTGACAATGTACAATGTACTAATATTTTTTAGGACTATAACTCCTATATTTTGGAAGCCTCATCAGTGTAATGTGTTGGAAATGTTCAACTCATATCTTTTATTTTGGGAGGTAAGGTTTTATGTCCTCTCCCGCCGTGTTTTTACATTTTGGATGATAATTATACAGAGGTGATAGGGATGGCAAACGGTGCGAAGAATATAGCTGTGGGGCATATCCGTGAAGATTTTAACTGCCCCCACCCTCCACAAAGCATAATTTACTGTTTTCAAACCGCCCCGCCCCCGCATAAACCCACCATGCATAGACCTGTGCTGCTTAATTTTTTTTCTTTTTGAAAGATTTTGATAGTAAAATTCTTTTTTCTCTTTTTCGAAGTAGTATTAATTTAATTTAAAAGTTTTATACTATCTTATAAAACACAGATATTCTAAATGTTATCATACTGCATTTTATTTTATGTATTTTATCTTAAAATACATTCTAAACACAGATATTCTAAATGTTATCTGAAAAATTGTATACTCATGATTAGGTTATCTGGATATGCCATCAACAGACGTGTCCTTCCAATTTTATTTTATTTTTGAACGATAAAATAAAATGCAGTATGCTATTCGATTATTCTTCTAAAAGTGACATCTATTTTACAGGTTTTTCAGATATTTACTCGATGAAAGGATAGTTTCTAAACACAAGATTATGGTGGAGAGCCATGTAAACTTTATGTTGGGAATAAATCCCCTACAGAAATAATATTCACGGTAATAAAAGCGGAATAATAATGTAGCAGCGAGATACAGTAATTAACAAGAATAAAAGAGTAATAACGATACTAAGATTTTTACGTAGAAAACCCTTTTGAATAAGGGAGAAAACCACGGCTCCGAGAGGAGCAACTGATATTACTATAGTAAAGAATTTTATACTTTGTAGGTCCGAAAAAAATACTCCAAAGACTACTACAATACTCAAAAGAAATAACCATCTTTTGATATTCCCACCTCACTACAATATCGCTCACACTCTATTTTTCTCACAAACTATTTTCTTATACCCTGTCTGTGAAACCTCACTCTTTCTTTCTCTTTGTTGGTGTGTAGAAATGAGAGACGAAGCTCTCCTTTTATAGCCGAAGCCTCACTCTCTCACTATTTTCTTATACCCTGTCTGTGAAACCTCACTCTTTCTTTCTCTGTTGGTGTGTAGAAATGAGAGCCGAAGCTCTCCATTTTCCTTGACTATTTTGAATTCTTTTAACTTGTAACCTCTTTCTTCGACCATTGACTTGGGCATGAAAAAAATTTGTATTGCGATCCCCATCCTGAAACTAATTCATCCCAGCTTTTTGCTTCCAGAATTCCTCCTCTAGTGCAAGATATCTAAAAAATTTAGCTTGTACCTTCAAGAGACATTTTCTATTGTGTGGAGTAGGATTCAATTCAAACTGAGTTTCATGTGCAATAGCTAACTCCTCAAGACTGGCTACCTTCTGAAAAATATTGCCATACGTTACTTTGCTCCAAACTGATAAAGCTCTCTTTAATTTTTCAGCTTATGGTTAAACATATGAAATAGATTCCCACTGAAATCAGCCTTCCAGTTCTCTCTAACAACATCCTGAAAAGTTTCATGCTTTAGCCAAAATTTCAAGAATCTAAATGATTTTTTAATCGATGCTGCATTTGGATCACATGATATGAGGAGAGGGCAATGATCTGAGCCTGTTTTAGATAAGTGAGTGATCTCTAATCCACGCCACATTTGCTGGAACTCCAAATTGGCTAAACATCTATCGAGTCTCTTGAATATATAATCATCATCAGTCCTACCATTCCACCAAGTGTATATGCTTTCCTTGAAACTCAAATAAGTGAGATTACAAGTATTTATACAATGTCTGACTACCTCTACTTCATTCATTGATACATGCCGACCTCCAAAATTTTCCTCTTCATCAACGATCACATTAAAGTGTCCCCCAACAAGCCAAGGAATAGACATTTCACTAGCTAGTGCATACACCGTATTCATAGCTCAATCCTCTCAGTTGCATCAAACTTTGCATACACTAAAGTTATTATGAATTCCTTTTGAGACAATGCATTAATTAATCTTAGTGTAAGATGTTGTTCTATGTCAAATAAAATATTAACTTCATAATCTTCTTCGACAAAGGCCCATACCTTGTTTGAGACATTAACAAAAGCATGATACATTCCCAACTGTCTCCTGTATGTTTCTAATTTGATTTTGCATTGGCTCCATCACCCCAATAAAGTGAAATTCATACTGCCTATACATTGTAACAAGTCTTTCAAAGGCTTGCATTGTGTTGACTGACCTTATATTCCAGATAATGGCATTCAACATTAATTACTAGATTTTGTAAGGGCCCTTCTTGTTTGTACTCTAGTGCTAGGAACAAGACATTTCCTTCTGCTTCTTCTTCTTCCCTCGGCCAGATGATTTAGCCTTATCCAACAATGTTGGTGATAAGTCTCATTGTTATGCTGCATTCATAATGTTTTGAATCGTTGATTCTGCATCAAGGTCCTTACTTCCTCTTTCACATTGCTCATCCTCCTCCATTCCATCAGTCTGCTGCACCATTTGATTATGTATAGGCTTAGGTATCAATAACTTATTAAAATGCTCCTTGGCCACCTTCAAAGGTTGATTGTTAGGAGAGCTAACTACCATTATTAACCTTTTCCCAACTGAACCTTTAGTCATTGTACCAATCTCAGGATTAAAAACAGTTATGTTACTAACTTCTGGGCTATGGTTAGGGTTAGGGTTATGTTTAGGATTAGGGTTAGGGTTAGAGTTCTATTTAGGGTTAGGGTTAGGGTTGGATGGTTGTACTGTTTGAGTGGTGTTTGGTACCTTTTGCTTTGGTTTTGAACTACTACCTTGAACACCTGTCTTTGGCAGTTGAATGTTGTCCATATTAACTGCATTGTCCTCTTTGTTGACAATAAAACCACCATCAACATTTGCTTGATCTTCTTCCTCTTATGGCAGTATTATAGATTCATTATCCACTAAATGGTCATCATCCTCTTAATCATGTTCTTGTTCATCATCCTCTTGAAATTCTCCTTCTTCTTCCTCTAAAAACTCTTTTCAATTTGATCACTCCATAACTTTCCAAGCTGAACTTTGCTTCCATCAAGGGTCTAGGATGGAATTTCTTGACATGATTGGTTCGTAGTAACAAACTTGGCCATGTAATCACACTGTATCTCCTTGTTAACAGCTAAGTCATTCCATTATTATTTTCATGTGCCATCTACTGCTCTACTTGTATACCTGTAGCTTCCTTATTACTTCCAAAGGTTCGAGCAACCCACTATGATGTAGACTCTTTCCCAGTTGCTTTTTCTTTCCTTTTGCCATTAGTATCTTCATTACTTGTGCCTCTTTACTTTGTTGCCCTACTTCCAGGTGAAATAAGATTAAAAATAGGTGCTGCCGGATTTAATGATCTCCCATATTCATTAGTATTAGGTCTTGAGCTGCGATCTTCATTCTCTTATGTCACTACTGCCAGCTGATTATTGGCTTCATTACCATATTCCTTCTCTTAAAGTGCAAAAAATTTGTTAGTAATTTGTACTTATTTTCCTATTCCATGTTCAACTGGAATAATTTCTTTTCCAGTCATCTCTTGCACACCATCTTGCTTGGACTTGTTTTCGACACGATTATCCCTAACTTCCTTCCACTGTTTCCCAATGTTCCCAACTACCTTTCCACTTGTAAGAATCATTATAGGCTCCTTTATTATTATCCTTATAATTCACAATACCTGTTGCAATATTCCCTTTCTTGTCTTGCATCATAAGTTCTGGATGCAATTTCCAGCATTCAAAATCATCATGGCCTTGTAACTTTCACGTTTTATAGTACTTAGGTAAATAATCATATTGAATTTTTACCCATTCATTTCTTACCTACCCAATAGCTTCGTTCTATATATCCATACGAACTTTGTTTGGCAAATCGGTTAGCAAATCATTAAGCACCTTAACTCTTGCACAACTTGTACGTGTCTTATTAATTGTTGCCATGTCTAAGTGTAATGGTTTCCCCACAGATGATGCTAAAGAGAGTAAACATTCTTTGAAAAAATAAGTAGGCAACAAGCTAGGAAACAAAATCCAAGCGATCGCCTTGGGAGTTTCTTCACCTGCCTTAAATTTAGCATCATAAATTAGTGTCCTCATCTGGTATTCATAGCCATCCTTGGATTTCACATAATAAGCACTTTTCAATGTAAAATCTATAAAATCTTGCCATAGAGTTAGTCGAATCAGTACATGTCTATCTCTGAGTAATCCAATATTGCATTC